TTATTCTTCCTCTTGTCTACTCGCACTCTTCCTTCCCACCTCAGCAGTCCTCCACCATTATCGGCCGTTCAGCTAGACAGCTGGGGAAGGAATTTATGGCGAAAAGAGAAGGAAAATAAGAAAAAAGGACTAAAGCCGTCAAAAAACAGAAAGAGAGGGAAGAAGTGGAATTTCAATAAAAAAAGAAAATGCTTTTAGTTTTTAAATTTTTTCTTCTTCTTTCTTTTTCTCTTTTTTTTTTTTTTTCGAATTAACAAATAAAATAAAGATTATTTGCGCATCAGAAATCAAAACCAAACTGCTTTTTTTCTCTTTGAATGGCAACAGAAATTTTTGACATTCTAATTATGTTTTTCCTTTCAATCAAGAAAAAAAGAAGAGAGAAGAGGAAAAAAGAAAAAAGAATCTCAAAACTTCAGCAATTTTTTTTTCAGTTGTTGATGCTGATTGCTATATCGGTTATAGCTGTGTGTTATTGTCGGTAATTTCAAATTTGTTTCCCGTTCATCTGGTCCTTTTTTTTTTTTTGTTTTTTTATTTTGTTCAACTTTTTAAAATACAAAATTTTTATTTCTACTAACAACCAAAATAAAAAAAAGTGAGGGAGTAAACAGAAGGCGAAAAAAGCCACTATCATAGATAAGCGGAAAAACATAAAGTAGAACAAAACAAAAAACCTAATTTAAAAAAAAGCATCTTACACGAAAATATGGAAAAGAAGCAGAAAAAAAGAAAAAGAAAAAAAAATTTGTCAACTTGAAAAAGCACTAAACGTCGGGTCTGTTTTTCTCGACAACATTACAAAACAAGTTTATTCACAAAATCTTTGTGTTCTCATAAAAAAAAAGTAGAAAAAGAAAAAGATACTTTTTACTGACAGCGGTCCAGTGTCTGTTGTAATTTTTTCATCAACCTTCCCCTTACTGTTTTTTCAGTGCTTTATCATTTTCAGCTGCCGAAAAAAAGAGAGAAGTACAAAAAGATGATGAAAGATGATGGTTATGATAAAAAATTTGAAGTCCAAGTAAAGTGAAATAGTTGTGCAATATTTGTCTTCTTCAATCAGGATCATCAAAAGTGTCTGCTTATTTGTTTTTCAACCAACCAAACAACTGTTATCAATGAGATCAAATCTTTTTGGATAAGACGAAAAGTGGAGAATAAAATTTTTTGGGAGGAAGAATAACATAGAAGAATGACAGCTAAAATGCTTATCAGGTGACGAAGAATAATGAAGAAGCTGTTCAGCTGATTTTACAGTTAGCAACCTGAAACAAGCTCACATTTTTGACGGGTCGTCAAGCAAACATTGACCAAAATGATTTCTAAAGGTTAACTTTTCTTGTTTCAGCAGCAGTGAATGATCATTTATTGGGGGAAGTATTTTTGTTTTTTAAAAAGTTGAAGGGAATACAAAAAAGAGAAAAACAAAAATAAAAATCTTTATAAATTGTTGAATAGGTAAGCTATGCAGTCGACACGAGTTAGCAATAAAAAATTTAGATCATGTTTAATTTGAACAAAATTTAATCTTACCTATCTTATCCAAATATCTGTTTACTACTTTCTTATTGATGTTCACTTTTTTCTTTCAACCTTTGCCATAACACTGACCATGAATTTATTGGTACATAATTTTTTAACCAGAGGAAAAAGAAATAATACACACACACAAAAAAAAAAAAAAA